GTGCAGTTCGCTGGCGGTGTGCGGGGCGCCCCAGGAGCGCAAAGCTCAGGCTCCTCCCCACCCTGGCCTGACGTGGCTTCCCTGCCGACTGTGGGAGACGTGACTGTCCCTATCATCGTGACCCTCTTTTCAGCGCCGGAATTCCGAGCCGCGCCCCCCGCCCCCGCCCGCCGCACTTAATTGGGGAAAGGGCGCCGGGCGTGCTCAAAGGCTGGGCGCGCGGGGAGCATTCCTCATGCCCTCCTCTAGTCAAACACTGGGGAGAGGGCGGAGAGAGGCATATGAGAGAGGTTCCTGGTACAGTGAATCCTTAAGGACCGGGCGGGGAGCCCAGGATGTTTCCGGGAGAGCCTCCCAAGACCAGGCTGCACCCCTCTCCCTCCCCCCCCCAGACATCTCCCGGCTCCCACGCTCCTTCTGGCTCAAGGATTCGTCATGGCAGATGTGTCTGTGGATTCTTTAAGTCCCTCATCCCCCTTCCCCACACCCTAGTGCCCTGTTGGCAGGGCCCGTGTCTGTCAACTCTCCAGCTCAGGGCCTCACTTCCCAATGACACTTTCTACCCCCAGGGTCTGCAGTGTCTGAGTCTTCCCTGCATCAAAGCAGGAACCTCGGAACAGAAAGAGGGGATACATGGAAGGAAGGCCCATTCATTCATTCATTCATTGGGTAGTCATCTGCTCTCCTATATGGAGTTCCCAGGTTGTGATGGAGAGACCCCAATACTCTGAGATTGGGGTATGGGCAAGGTTGGGACAAAGAAAGAACCAAGTGCAGCTGTGAGTCTGGACCATGTCCATTCCACAAGGGTAAGAATTTATTCAATAAACTTTCACTAAAGTTCTCCCCCTCCATTTACACCAACTCCCCTATACCCTGTCAGGAAAGAGAGGCTGGCACAGAAAAATCTGTCTGCCGGGAAGAACCTAGGGCAGGTTGGTTCCAAGCTCTGACAAGAACAGAGTTGATTCAGCAGGGCTCAGAGCCAGTTCCGCCTCTGGAATCTGAAACTATGTGCCCCGGGCCCAGCCCAATGTGCAGGTCACCATTCATACATTCGGCTGGGTAGATGCCAGGATTGCAGATCCTGACAGCAGTGACAGGCAGACAGGGAGGAAAACCTCCACAAGGAGGAGACCTGGACAGTCACCATCTGCCCTGGCAGCCAGCCTGTCTACCCCGAAGCCCGTGGCCTCTGTCTGAGTGGGGGACATTGCTCTCCCAGAGTGCGTTCTTTCCTACCGGGCTTCCTTTGCTGAGATAAATGATCAGTTATTTTCCCAACCTGATGGGCTTTTCATGATCCATTTCTCAGGGGCTTCTTCCTCGGTGCCATGTTTCAGAGGGCACAAAACACCAAAGGCTCTCTCTCTTAGAGGCAGATGCCATGAACAAGCTACAGAAGAATTTCTCCAGGGGCCTGGCTCTTGATTGCATCCTAAAAAGTGCTCTGTGGAATGTGCCCTATGCCCCAGCAATGACATGGTCACCCTGATCAACTGTTTCTTCAGTGTGCCAGTTACTGTGCTGGGGTCATAATGGTGGGCAGGACACCCCAGGCCCCACATAGGCTACTTTGGTCAAGGTAAATGGCATAGAAAGATGACATGTGGGCTGAAATCTCTCATCAGAAAGAAAAGCAGTGAAATAGACTTTTTTTGCTTGTCTGTGGACAGCTGAATTAAGTCCCTGCCTTTGGGAGTTTTCAATCTGAGGCAGGACACAGTCTCATGAACAGTGTCTTTCCATCTGTATCTCCAATACTTAGGTTATGGGGGGGTCCCTCAGTCCCTCTTTACTAATTTCTAATCCTTGGGGCTTCTGGTGGGTGGGACAGGAAGAGCAGATCTGTCAGTAGAGGGGCTGCTTATAATAAAAATAGTGGCAAACCCCTACTGTACAGTAAATATATGCCAGGTATTATTCTAAAGTGATTCTGTATTCACTTAATTCTAATAACAGCTCCAAATTAGGTATGTATTTATTCTATTTTAGGTGATGACACTATGAAAGAGGTTACACACTTGTCTGAGTTTTCAGAGTTATCTGGACAGAGCTAGGATGTGAAACCAGGCTAGCTAACTTAGAGTTGTGTTCTTAACAGCCATGATATGCTACCTTTATTCAAAATAGCCCAGTGAGCCTTGCCTCCTGATATTCACGCCCTCATGTATGTTCTCCCTAGCATATAATCAAGAGCATATTGTTAAAATGATGGTGTGTGTGACTTCTGAGGTTAGGTCATAAAAAACAGGTGGCTGCCCTGGCCAGTGTGGCTCAGTTGGTTGAAGTGTTGTTCTGTACACCAAAAGGTGGCTGGTTCAATTCCTGGTTAGGGCACATACCCAGGTTGTGGGTTCGATCCCCGGTGGGGGCGCGTGTGAGAGGCAACCAACCAATGTTTCTATCTCACATCAATGTCCCTCCCCCTGCCCTCTCTCTCTCCTCCCCCTCTAAAATCAATTTTAAAAAGAAGATGGAAGAATGAAATCTTCAACTTTGGAACTTTATGACCAACAAAAGGAAAGACATTTTCAGATGAACAAACTAGAGAATTCATCACAGACAGATCCCAAATAAAGGAAACACCAAAGAGTCTTTTTGAGGCAAGAGAAAATGATTCCAATTTCTTAGAGATGGAGGAAGAAATGAAGAGCAAAGAAATGGGGTAAATAAATAAGTAAATAAAACACACACAGAAAAAAACAACTACACGTCTTCTGCCTTGTTCTTGATTAGATCACATGGTCTCGGAGAAGCCAGCCGCCGTGCTGTGAGGACACTTAACCCTTTGGAGAGGTTCACATGTTGAGGAACTGAGGCCCTCACTCAACAACCAACATCAGCTTCTCAGCCATACAATAAAGCTCTCTTGAAAGGGGGATAAATGGTAATAGTCGGAGACTTGACTTGGGGTGTGAACACACAATACAGTGTACAGATGATGTGTTGTGGAATTGTGACCTGAAACCTGTGTAATTTTGTTAACCAGTATCACCCCAATAAATTCAATAACAAAAGGGGAAAAGAAAGCACATCCTCCAGTCCCAGGCAAGCTTTAAGATGACACAGCCTCAGCTGACATGTTATTAACCTCATGAGATCCCATGCCAGAACCACCCAGCTAAGCCACTCCCAAACTCTTGATCCATTAAAACTATGAAGTAATAAGTGTATATTATTGTTCTAAGCCACTTGTTTTGTAGCTAACACAATAGATAGCTAATATAATAGCCAACACTTCAGTGGTGCCTTCTCTGTGGCTGGCACTATTTTGAGTATTTTATGTACATTCATTCACTTAACATACCCTATAATGATGGGGTAGTACTGTTTTTTAAAAATATATTTTTTATTGATTTTTAGAAAGAGAGGTAGGGAGAATGAGAGAAAGAGAAACACTGATGTCATTGATTGGCTGCCTCCTGCACGCCCCCTACCAGGGATTGAACCCACAACCTGGGCATGTGCCCTGACCAGGAATCAAATCAGCAACATTTTGGTGTATGGAATGATGCCCAACCAACTGAGCCATACTGACCAGAGTGAGGTAGTACTGTTTTAAGCTCCATCTTGAAGAAGAGAGGAAACTGAGGCATAGAGAGGTCACATGACCATGTGAGAGAGGAGGTGTAAGGTCAATAGTTCCCCAGCAAGACTAGGACTGCTGTTGGGCTTAAACCTGCCCCAATCATGGTCTGCCAGGGGCTGACATGAGAGCAGCTAATGCTGCTTCTATGAGTCACAATCCTACCACCTTTTCAAATTTGCACAGAAGCCAAACCCCCTCTGCCATCTCTCCTCTTGAATCCATCCCACCCCTTGCCCATGTTTTAGGCACAGATCCTACCTCTCCAGCCAAATTCTGTCTGAAGATATGCTTCGTTTGGTCTGCCCCAAAATTTGAACATTGGGAGATTTCTAACAAAAATCTAGATTTTTGGCTTCCCTTGCACAATTGAAAGTTCCAGCAAGGGTGGCCTGCAGGCCTGCTGGTTTGCAATGGGCTAGAACTGAGGGGGAGCTGCCTCTTTGGCCAAGGCAAGTCTTCCCACCCTGTCACTGCTGTGTGACACAACCCCTTCCATGCTCTGTCTTTTGCAGATATCTTAAGCCTCTGTTCATTCCCTTTGGGCCGGTGTTTTTCTATTGCCAATGCCAGCCTCAGACTGGGGTAAGAGAGGTCTGTATTACAGTACTGAACTTTTCAGGGCAAACCTGGAAGGTCCAATCTCCAAAAATCATACAAAATAGTAGCTATGAGTCACATGTGGCTGTCAAACACTTGAAATGGGGCCAGTCCATATAAAGATTTGGAAGACTTGAAAAAAAGAATGCTACTTGACTAATTTTTAAAAATATTGATTGCATGTTAAAATAATTTTAGATGTGTTGGGTTAAAATTAAATGATTAAAATATATTTCATCTTTTTTAAAATTTTAAATCTTTTTAAAGTGCCTTCTAGAAAATTTAAACTTACACATGTGACTTGCATTTGTGGCTCACACTATGCTTTTATTTTCAGCACTAACCTAGAGTTATTTACCAGTTTTTAGGAAATACAAAGAACAGGAGAATATCATGAATGACACTGCAGGGGTGCAGTCAGCTTTTGAAATCCAAACTGTGGAAGATGCATCGGGACAAATCTGTCTTCTTTAACAAATAAATTGGAAAAAAAAAATGGTGAGAAATTTTTGAGATCAAAAGGCATTTAAAAAACATTCCAACTACATGCAATATATGGACATTTTGGGATCCATATTCAATCCTTCACTAAAATAATGAAACAAAAGAAATTACAACATTTATGAAACAATTAAAAATTTGAACACTTACTGGACATTTGATGATTTTAATTTTTAAAGTATAATAATGCTATTATGGGTATTTAAAAAATAAATAGTCCTTGTCTCCTAGAATGCATATATACTTAAATATTTACAGATGATGGCATGCCTGCTTTGAAGCAAAGGCTTCAAAACAGTTCAGTTGGCAAGGAAGTGGGAACACAGGAGATAAAATAGGATTGAGTTGACAATAATGTTTACGTTTTACAATCTACTGCCTTTTTCACTATGGAAAATACGCATCATATAAAATTTACCATTTTAA